ATTAATTCTTGCATTTCCCTCCCCCCACCTCTGTTCCCCTTCCCCCAGGCAGTTTGCAATGCACCTCTTGTTCTAGAATTTTGTCTTGACTGCTGTACCAAAGATGATGATTGTGGATCCAAGCAAATCACTGACAATGTGCCATTGGCCAAGTGGTGAAAATTATTGATTTCGTGATGCTGAGATGTAATCCAGTTTTAAAATTATTGACTCTTGATCTTATGCTACTTCGTGCAAGGATTCTGTTTCAGCCAGTTATCTTGGTACAGTGACTCTCTGTATTCCCTCCACCATCTTTTATTTTAAAATTTATTTTAAATTTTATTATTTTTGATTTTTTTTTTGTTTTGGTGTGTGTGTGTGTGTGTGTGTGTGTGTGTGTGTGTGTGTGTGTACCATCAAATTGGATCTGATTGGTACAGGAGAAGATTGCTCCTCCTTTTCCAGCAGAACATCTGAATCTGGTGGATTCGAACTGTGTAACTCTGGGATTGCAGTACAGCTTCTTGCCACTAGGCCTTCCATCATATTTTGATGTTTCCTGGATTATTCAAGATTTTATTAATAGCATTCACCAATATTGCAACTTGAGATTTATGATTGTTTTTTAGTTCTTTTAGCTTGAAAAATGTTAAACTAATTTTTCCTCCTTTCCTCCCTAACCCTAGCTCTTAGTACGTTTCATTCTAATATTTTGCTTAAGTTTGTTGAACTGCCCCTTGAAATCTTCTATAAATCTCTTTTACTTTGGCATTCAGCCCCTTTGGTTTGGAGTCTTGGCATTCTAGTGCACTTTTCAGAGTTTGTCTTGACATTCATTTTGTCTGAACTTATAACAGTACCTAACAGCAACCATGGTCTTTTACAGTATTTTCAGATTTGACTCACTTTGTAAAAATTCATTGTTCTTGAATAAAGAAGGCCTTTGAGGAAAGCAAACCTATTGAGCCACCAAACTTACAAATAGAACCAGAAAAGTAGGTTTACTGGGGGGAAAAAGTCAACTCAAAACTTTCCACAGTTACTCAGCATGATTATGGAGAAGTTATCACAGGGTCTGAGGACCAAACAAATGTCACTTAGCAGGCTGGAGGCGTGTGATGTCAGTTTTACAACTATGCCATTTATTTGAATAATCCTGAACTTATTAATACCACCCTATCATTTTTAAATCTGTCATTGTTTATGATAATTGTGTATTTTGAGAATCTTTCAATCTAGGAGACTTATGTGCTAGCAGTATATTGAACATATTCTGTTGTGATTCATAGACTTTTCATTGGCTAATTTTTTTTTGAAACAGATCACCAGGGCTTTCCTTCTCGTTGCCATAGCCTGGACGCTTTCTGAGAGCCGTTCATTATGGTGTTCCTGCTGCTAATTGAAATCTCTCTCTTTCTAACTCTTATTTCTTTTGGTTCATAACTGACTCAAAGATTTCCCTCCATTGGGTTTTGAGGCTATTATGGATGGGAGAAGGTTCTCTATCTTTCTCTGGCTAAAGCTATGCGAAAACATTTCTGATAAATATATTTTGCACAATGGATGCCTAGGAAAAGACATGTTTGATAAAGCAGTTTTAATAATAGATTACCAGGGGAAAAATTCTTTTCTGTCCTGTGGTTAAAGGAAAAGCATGTAGGCTTGTAGTTATGAATCTTTAACAGATCAGGTTAAGATTAAGAATTCCAGATGATTTGTGGGGTCACATGAAGGACATTATACATGAAGAAAGCATGTTGTTGTTGTTGTTATGTGCCGTTGAGTTGCTTGCGACTCATAGCAACCCTATGCACAACAGCCCGAAACCCTGCTCTGTCCTGTGCCAATCGCACTGCCTCTGACACACCCATCCAGATTACCCCAGTCACGGAGTCAATCCACCTCATTGAGGGTCTTCCCCTCCTGCGCTGTCCTTCCACCCTCCCAAGCATGATGTCCCTCTCCAAAGACCGGTCCCTCCTTACAACATGACCAAAGTATGTTAGATGAGGCCTCAGAATCCTTGTCTTCAAGGAGCAGCCTGGTTTAACCCTCTCCAGGATGAATCTGTTTGTTTTCCTAGCAGTCCATGGTATTCTCAATACTCTTCTCCAGCACCACAGCTCAAAGGCATCAATTCTCTTTCTATCCTCCCTAGTCACTGCCCAACTCTCTGATGCATAACAAGTGATTATGCAAAGACCATGGCCTGTATCAGACACACCTTAGTCTCCAGAGTGACACCATTGCTCTTCAGTACTTTGGAGAGATTCCCTAACAGCAGCCTTTCGCATCACAATTATGTCTTTTAATTTCCTGGCTGCTGGTGCCAAGAGTGTTGACCGTGGAGCCAAGCAAACTAAAGCTGTGTACAATCTCAATCTCTTCACCATCCATTTTGATGTTGAAGAAAGCATAAAATCATTTAAAATACCAAAATCAATGTCAGAAGAGACTCAGTGCCACAAAAGCTCCTGGTATTTGACATATTAGTGACATTTTTCCGTAGTTGGGGTAATAACATATAAACTAGCACAGTTCAACAAACTTATAAGGAGGTGGCAGCGAAGATAATAATTCACTCTGATGTTGTTCCAACTAGAAAATGGTTAAGTTTTATGACACATTTTGAGGGAAAGGATACTAAGACAGACATTTGGTTCAGCTATGGACATGGTTAACAAGACATAGTAACTATATCCTTTCACTCCTCTGTCAGAAACAAAGAGAGGAGTAAACACCACGCACCTTGGGGACCTCTCAGAACATTGCACTGTTGGAGTGATTTTTTTTTTTAAACTGAGTCCTTTTTCCAACTTGAATCATTAGCTTCTCACACTTAAAGGAATATATAATGCCAGTTTACTTTTACAGATGAAGAAACAGAGAGATGAAAAACTCTGTTACATTTTCAAGGTTAATTACCCAAAAAGAGGTGGTTCGAATCCATCAGCTTCTCTGAGGGAGAAAGATGGGCAGCCTCTTCCTGTGTGACTTACAGCCTCTGAAAAAAAAATCACTGGAAGTTCAGCTAGGAGGCGGTTTCAACTCAATGGCACATATTTCCTGCCTGAGTCAAAACAATTTTTATTTTATTTTAAAAAATAATAATTTCATTTTATATTGGTTTGCTTACAAAGTTCATACATATTATGTTTCACACAATTCTTCATTTACTTTATGTTTCATACAATCATTATCATGCATTATGTTTTCTAAATTTAATCACCATTGGACCGTGCCTGTCATTACTCTATCTTTTCAGGTCCCTGCTGAATCTTTACCAATTTTTTTTTTTATTTTCTACTAATTTATTTACAAAATTCAAATACATTGTTAATAAGAACTAATTATTTCAATTTCCCTCACCCTGCCCCCATCAAATTGTACAACCCCATGATTAATCCCCTTCCCCATGCACATCCTCATCCCTCAGTTTCCACCCTCTCCCACCCCTCTTGGATCCTTATACTCCTTCTACAATAATGGTTTTATACAATATTTACCCTTGTGGGACTGAGTTAGTTCATTCAGCATAATGGTCGTCAGTCCCTTCCAAGTTAGGTAATAATTTACAAAATCATTGCTACTGTGTATTGCATAGTATTCCATTGTATGAATGTACCATAATTTCTCAATCCAACCCTTTTTTAAAAAACAAATATTTTTTTAAATTGTAATTTTAACAAATGTTTACAGAAAAGTTAGATTTTAATTCATTAATTGTTGAACATTTTCATCCTCCCTTCCCCCTTCCTCAGTTCACTCTTATTTTTAAAAATATTTATTCATTCATTGTTGCACGATGACCTCTCTCCCTCGCTCCCCCCCAGCCCTCTTTACAATGTACCTCTTATTCTGGGCTATTGTACATATAATGCCTGATTATATATTCCTTTTAAACAGATACAAAACTCTTTAATTTAGAGTTCAGAGCATCTATTCTGAAATCACTCAGTAATCCATGGCATTTGTGGTAAGGATTCCTTTCCATACTCCAATTTTGAGATTACAACTGTCCAGTTGTTTTTTTTTAAATTTATTTTTATTTTATTATTTTTGTGTGAGTGTACCATCAAATCAGATCTGACTGATACAGGAGGAGATTGTCCCTCCTTCCCCGGCAGAGCATCTGGTGGATTCGAACTGTGCGCCTCTGGGGTTGTAGTTGCAGCTCCTTACCAGTAGGCCACCAGAGCTCCCCTACGACTGTCCACTTTTATGATTATGCAAGTTTGTTCTTACATCACTAGTAATTTTCTACATTATTGGTTTTGTTTTCAGAAACTTTTTTCTGTCTAAAAATTTAACGTACAGTTCTTACATTAGATTTGCTTTGACTCTACAGATTTTATTGATGGCATTTGTGCTCTAGCCTCTTATACTTCTAGGATATTTTGTAGAGATATACGTTGGAAAAAGTACCTTTGCGTACAATTGATCTTTTTGGGATTGCATATCTATGCTTTCTACTTTTGGGATAGGAGCATATTTATAATTCCTAAACTCAGGCAGGTAAAAGAAAACAAGTAAGTTGATCAAAGTACACCTTGGATATTCCCTTTCATTCTAAACGCTTTCATAGAAGTTATTTTATCTGTTTGAAAGGAAAACTCCTTTGAAACTGTAATAAGAAATACAAATTTATTAAAAAATTTTGTTTTCCATTTATTCTATACTCACGATCAGGATGGCGTTGGCTTTTTGGGCTTTGCACTTACTTGTCTTCACAGATTTCTTCCAAAAAAAGACAACAAAATTTCAGGTGCACATTACTGTATTGAAATAAAGATGAATATAACAAAACTTGGGTTATATTCTTTTAGAACACAGTTTAGAAGATTCCTTGGGCCCTTTGGAGTGTCGCGCGGACTTTAGGCACTGCGCTTCGTACCCTTGACGGATGCTGAGTTCTGCTTAAAACATGTGGCGCCCAAAGGTAAATTGACCTAGGCGGCATAAGTGACCGCTCCGCATATAACCAAGATTTATCTATCTAAATTCTTCAAATGCAAGATTTATTTGTCACTGGCTTTTATTGTTTGATCCCAAAGCTTTTTCATGACATTTTTCACTTCTGCATTTCTCAGGGTGTAGATTAAAGGGTTCAACATAGGGGTTATTAGGGTACAGAATACAGTCACAGCTTTGTCAGCAGTGAAGGTGGTCACGGGTCTTAGGTACAGGAATGAACAGGGCACAAAGAATAAGATGACAACAGTGACGTGGGAAGCACATGTAGAGAGGGCTTTTCGGCGTCCTTCAGAGCTGTAAGACCTCAGGGAGTGCAGGATGATGATATAAGAAATGATTAGCATAGAAAAAATAAGCAAACAGAGTGACCCGCTATTGGCAGTAATCAGGGGCCCCAAGATGTGAGTGTCTGTGCAGGCCAGCTCCAGAACAGGGATTAAATCACACATAAAATGGTCAATGACATTAGGGCCACAGAACGGTAATTGGAGTATGAACAAAAGCTGGATCCCTCCATGAATAAAGCCCAAAATTCCAGCCATTCCCACCAGGAAAGTACAGAGAGGCTTACTCATGATGGTCGCATAGTGTAAAGGTTTACAGATGGCCACATATCGGTCATAGGCCATTGCAATTAATAAGATGATCTCGGCAGCAGCAAAAAAATGTTCGGCAAAGAGCTGAGTCATGCAGCCATGGAAGGAGATAGTGCTTTTCTCAGAGATCAAGTCAAAGATCATTTTGGGAGCTATGGAGGTGGAGTAGAAACCATCGATAAGGGACAAGCAGGACAGGAAAAAGTACATGGGAGAGCCCAGGGCTGGGCTGATGAGGATAGTGACTGAGATGAGCAGATTACCTGCCAAGGTGAACAAGTAGGTGATTAAAAGTACAGGAAATAACAGCTTCTGCAGTTGTGGATTCTGAGTCAGGCCCAGCAGCATGAATTCTGTGACGTTTCTCATCCTTCTAACAAGGCAGCTTTTGACGAGGGCATGTGGTCTATCTGAGAAGGTGACAGTGCTTATTAGCAATGATATTTCTAGCTCAAGAAAAAGATTTTCATCACTTTTCTTTGTCTTGATGTCTGAGATTGATAAAGCTACCTTTGTCATTTTTCTACAGTCCCAAAGGAAAACAATATGTTGTTAACCGTCTCCTTATTTGTATTAATGACATAGTAATAATACTTTACAAGAGTCTTTAAAAAAGTAAGCTGGTGTTATGAAGGATCATTTATATATAATTGGCTTCCAAACATCCTCTCCATCTCTGAGTTTCCCAAATCGTATGGTTTGCTTTCCTTCTTCGTTAGTGATGAATTTCATAAATAATAATAATAATTTTGGAAGTCACACTTGCTATTTTGTATCAATATTTATAGGTATAGACTCATAACATTCCTTTAAAAGTCATTTGTTTATAATTTATGAACTTACCGAAGTGTGCTATGTGAGCTTTGCTCTTAATCTATTATGTCTTTCTGTCAGTTGAATTCACACGCATAGACAGAGACAGAGCTAAAGATGGGGAATTTTTTTCCTTTCAAAATGGCCCAGGACAATTTTTATAGTAGCCTATCAACTAGTCTTGATTCAATAGCTGTACTATGCATGAACATTTTTATTCTTTTAAATTTTTTAAAATTTTACTATTACTTTTTATTTATTATGTTATTATTATTAATTTTAATGGAAATTTACAGATATTTTGGATTTTCATTCATTCGTTGTTGCACTTTTCTCTCTGGCCATCTTTCCCCTCCAGTTCATTCTTCTCTTTGAGAAGTAAAAAAAAAAAATTCTTTAATGTTATACAATTCCTCTGTCCAAGTCTACTCCTCTGTGCATTCTTCGTTCTGAACTCATGTCATCACAATAATACCTAATCATATATCTGTTTTAAACAGTTCTCTCCCTCATCTGTTTCAATGCAGTATATGTAATGTATCCTATCTTTCTCAGTCTCCCCCTAACACCTACATCAGACCCGTTTTACAGCAGGGGCACTATGCAGTATTTGTCATTTTTGGACAGATACTTCACTCAGCATAATGTCCTCCAGGATCATCCATTCTGAAGAAGATTGCATGAACATTTTTAACATCAGTATTTCTATTAAATCCATCCTTGAATGTGGACATGTAGGTAGTGTGAAGTTCTCAAGTATGTGCACAGCATTTCCTTAAATAACATAACAAAGAATCTTATGTCATATATAGAATCATGCTCTAAATTATGTATGTTTTCTCACTTGTGGTTTATAGATGGAAAGAAATAATTGGAAGGATGGAAGGAATTGACAGGACAGAAACAGTAGGGCAATATAAGATGATACTGACTTTTTTTCTTTAGCCACATATTTAATCAACAAAGATAAACTTAGAAGTTGCATTGCTATCTGTATGTTCATTTGTTTCAGAATGATCTGTATATGGATTTTCATGAATGAATATATGCTATTATAAATGATCATATCTTATTATTTTCCCTCTTATTTTCTTAATACCTGCAAATATATAGCAAAATCTTTCCTAAAATATAGAGAGACAGAAAATTAAGTGTGATGGACATCATGACTTCAATAAAGATGGCAACAAATCTTTGTTATTCAAGATATCTCAGGTTTTTAATGGTTTTTTTCCATCCATGATCTTTTATTCTTATTAGATTAACAAATTCTCACATTAATCTAGCAAAGTGGATGTTAACAAAAGGAAAACACCACTTCCAGTTAGTACAAGTAGAAATCTCAGGGACAGTCTACTACTTTTTCTCCAGCTGGTCTAAAACAATTTCGATAGTTATTAACCGAGTCTGGACTGGCAACGTCACATACAGAATTTTCCTTGATATTTGAGATGTTGCATTTTTCTGTCCCCTCAGTGGAGACTAATAATTTATTCATTTATTCAGTAAGTCTATTTTTAAAACTTAGTATTGACCAGACATCTGTGAATGGTAGGATGAAGTGTAGTGACTATGAATGCTATCATTATTTGTGCAAATCTGTAATCAGTTTCACGATGCCATCAGAAAATAATTTCAAAAGACATTTTCCAACCAAATTCTTTTTCAAGGAAAAACTCTGTGTTTCCTCCATGGCTGATCCACTGAATGCTCTTGATTTCAAAGAAGAATTACCGGCAGAGTCAGAGCTCGACTCTCATACAGTCAAAGAACGAGTGATGCGTTTCCTAACATGACCTAACTCACCGGTGAATGGTAAAGTCTTGAATGAGTCAACTCTTTGTCTGTTAACCGCAGATTTCCTTGAAAACTATAAAATGAATGGCAATTTAACGATAATGATAAAATTGACATGTGAGACAGTAAGGGCAACACATTTCTTTCTATAGCATGGAGTTGACAGTTATATGTCTAGAGTTGGTAAGTCAAAATGAAAGAAATTTTTCCAAATGATAATGTGTGCCAGCAGAAGAACAAGACTCAGACTATCTAGGAATGTGTTTTACTTCTGCCCCTTAGTTGGGTAAATGAATGTATTCTGTACTTTAGTTTCTGCATCTACAGAACAGGTATAATATATAGGGCTGTTATGAAGAGAATATCAATACTATTGGAGTGTTTAGAATAGTGCCTGGTTCACAGTAAAATGAATTATGGTGGTTAGAGATAGTATGTTTAATTTAGGGCTGTTGTACTTAGTTAGGGTAGCTATGAGTCGCAGGCGACTCGACGGCACATAACAACAACAACAATATCAAGAAAGCTTAAATATCACCCTCAATCAATTTAGACTATATAAATTCTTCGGGATTGAAAGCAGGAGTGGCATCCACTTTTGAAACAGCTTGTCTCCAGAAACTCTATGAACTTAGAGAAATGATGAAAGTTATACAAGTGTTCAGGTCTTTCGTTCATAGGATTACTATAAGTCATCTATGACTTGACTTAACAACAACAACAACAACTACTACTACTACTAGTTTATAAGTCACAGAGTTCAACCATAAAGTTATTTCAACATGATTAACTTGACTAAATAAAATGAATCTATTTGAGATTTTGAAGAAAAAAAGGAATTATCACCGACCTGGGTCTACTTCCTTGTTGACTCTTCAGTTTTTAGATTGGGCCCATTCATCAGTGTCTTCCCTTTTGAGCTTTTGCGAAACAGCCACAGATAGATTCAATGAGCTTGAAATGCAAACATTTTTAGGGAAAAAACCCCACCATATTAAAATCTTATATATAGAAATTCTTCTCTCTTCAGATAGCCATCCCAAAGATTGGAAATTTTAATTTATTTTTTTATCCCCATTTGCAGTCTGGGTTTGCTAAGATAATAAACCATTTTAGTTAGGAAAGCTAAATAGCCTCAGAATTTATTTTTTGTTCATTTTCTTAGCTTGTTATGGAAGTATCAGTAAATATATATATCTCTATAAAAATATATGTTGTTGTTGTTGTTGCTATGTGCCATCGAATCGCTTGCGACTCCTAGCTACCCTATGTACAAGGGCCATAGACATCATCCTATCCTGGGCCAACCTCGCTGTCTCAAACACACTCATTCCCACCACTCCACTCACAGAATCAATCCTTCTCATCGAGGGTCTTCCTCTCCTTTGCTGCCCCTTCACTTTCCCAAACATAACATCCTTCTCCAAGGACCAGTCCCTCCTTGCAACATGCCCAAAGTATGTCAGACAAAGCTTCAGAATTCTTGACTCCAAGGATCATTTCAGCTTCACCTTCTCTAGGACAAACTTGTTTGTTCTCCTAGCAGTCCATGGCATATTCAACACTCTTCTCCAGCACCATAGGTCAAAGGCATCAATTATCCTTCTCTCATCCCCATTCTTTGTCAGCTTTCCAATGCATAGCACATAATTGAGAAGCCTATAGCATATATATCTTTAAAAAATCTATCTATCTATCTATCTATCTATCTATCTATCTATCTATCTATCTATCTAAGAAAGAGAGAAATATTGTGTTTGAATGAATAAATAACCTAATATATGGTGGCTCTGATGACCTAGTGCTAAGGAGTTGCACTGCCAATCAACAAGGTGCTCCCTGGAAGAAAGAGGAACAATCTCTTTTCCGGCAGTTTACAACCTCTGAGAACCAACTTGAGGGTCAGCTCTGGGACAGTTCCTACGTGACGGCAAACAGCATAACAATAAGTGATATACTCAAATGACAATACCTATTAAATTTTGAGAATAATGCAAAGATTTTCAAGTCACGAAAAACAAGTATACAATGTATAAGTTAATCAAGTCCCTGTAATTAATCATTGTTTTGTTAAACTAACTTTACCAAATTTTTCATTCATCAAAATCCATGAATATGGAAGAGAATTCCCTTCATTTGTGATTCATACCTTTTGATTGTATTTTCATAGAAATTCATGAAGTTTGTGAGCAATCTCTTTTTCCACACAATTCTGGGCTTTTTTTATATTGGCTCTTTTGCTATCATTTGCTCAAAGGCTTTCTTAATTGGTTCTAGGGAAATGATTAAGTAGAGAGTCACATAATGTAGGACTAGGTAGGGAGATGCTTAAGTAGAATGTCACATAATGTAGGACTTGGTAACACAATGACCTCTCAAGTCATCAGGGGTTTAATAATTGGCCTTCTTGGAACATTTGCTGAAGCACCAGCCAAAGTCTTTAACTTACACTTATTAGGCAATCACAAACATCATTAGAGGTCAGGTTTTTTACATAAAGTTGAATATGGGTTAAAGATAGGTCTCTGGCTGAAGTTCAGGTTTAGACTTGGGACAGTAGGTTGGAAACATTCTTTATGAGATTGTGTTTTTCTTTGTGGCATTGGTTAACCTGTCATAAGTTGCATAGTTGGTTTTAGGAATAAATGAAAGAATGAATTTCTCTCTGAAAACATGATGGTCTAAATGACATTATAGTCTTGAAAATGGAAGCATCAATTTTCAACATTTTGGGTTTAAGTATCTTGAGGTATTGTGATGTT